TGGGCTGAATACCCTCCACTCACATGGAATCGCCGGTATGTTCTTACTGTATTGGTGCTTTCTAAGGTCTTAGAGGCACTGTTTATTCCCTTGCAACCTGCGGTCAAACAAGATAGCACCACTGAAAGAGTTTCAATTAACCAGTAACAAAGTCAGGCCCATCTAGTGGAATCTCTGAGAAATCATCATCATTGGATTTCATGGAACTCCCCATTAACTTTTCTTTCCATCAAGAGGAGGTGTACAACTCATTAGGGCCGTTCCTTGACATCTGCCAGAATCCCACCATCATTTGAGCTTTTCAACAAAGCTTGATGTTCACCCTCCAGTAGATGGCTAGCAATGATACTCGACTGGGAATTCCACGCAGAAAATAAAATCCATACATTCACAATTAAATGCATACAACTCCATGTTGTCATTCTCAATATATTATGTGACATGGACCACACCTTTAAAGGGTAACTTTAAATAATATTCTATTCATATTGTCCTTGGGAGTTTCATAAAGCAACACTCCGTACACGCAATAAAACACGGACTGCATACAGAAACCACAAAGCATAAGGGGTAGACTTCCAAACGTGTTCGAAATACTGTCAAGACCTCAAAAAATAAGGTCGTTTGCTTGTTTGTAGACGGTGTCACCTTTTATCTGAACCTCTGCAGGAAGCTTCACCTTCTTGATATGCATACTCGAGACAACCTTGACTAGGAAAGTTAATTCAATTCCCCAACATGTCGGTGCCATTTGGTTACCCTCGGCTGAGATCTGATCTCTATTTCTTTCCACGCTGTTTCGAATAAAAATAAACCGCCTAGGGTTCCTATCATGCGTTTCGTTGTACCCTTGAAATGTTATGGGTGTGTTCTTGAAAAGTTAATCAGGATAATGCTTGACAGAAAAATTAGGTTGTTGTTTCATTTTGGCTCAGAAAATTGCCGCAAGTGCATATGAAGACATATGAAGTCAATAGGTGCATATGAAACATATGAAGTCAAAAGGTGTAGTCGCAATTTCGCCCGGATAGTTAGTTTTAAATGCCCTTGCTCAAACGGAATGTCCTAGCCTAGCGTTTGCGTCATTTGACTCTAACTGAAATACTACATCAGATTTGGAAGAGCAAACAAAAAAAAACTTTTGCTTAGCAACATTTAGCTGGTAGTGAAACGTTACATTTCAAGCCACCGCCCCTCCAATATTTTAAGAAAGCGATATCACCTTGTTTCTACGATTTTCAAGAGTCACGTTTTCGTCAGGGGGTGGGGTAGATTTGTGTACACGTCACGAGTAAGTCAAGTTGGGAGCAGAAAGACAACGCCAAAGAGAGCGTTTTTATCAATAGAAAATTGACGAGTTTACAAAAGCGACTTCGGAAAAGAACATACTAGAACACACAATTCGAGAGCTCTCGTCTAAAATAAAATGTTGTCATTACCCGCATGTCTCCTCCATTGGACGTTCGAGAAAATGGATGGTGCCGGAATGCGCTGAAAACATTGCTGAGCTTTCATTACTTGAAGAAATTAGTTAACTATCATGACGATCACATTATTTGTTCACCTAATTGTCCAGTTGAATTGCACGAAAACCTTCTAATCTGTATTCCACAGATTAGAAGACACCACAGGGCAAATTGAAGATTATAATCTGTAGCTACCAGTAAAGAGATGGTAGAAACCAAACAGGTCAATGTAGTGGTCAACACCTACCTTAAAACCCACCACCCATAGTGCCTGTTAGCTCCAGCAGTTGCTGTTGACCCACACTGTTCCTGCATTATACATTCCTGATGCTACAATGATCAAATCCAGTCAGTTTTTATTTTAGCTTACTCATGACACGAAATAACCCAAAACCACATAGCTAATGAATCCAATTCCAAGATTATCGGTTATGTTGCTCTGAGACTTGTAATCAATGTAATTGGATTTGGTGGCGAGAAAGACAGGGGGAGACAGCCTAAATTCTGCCAATGTGTATTTGCTGAGATTGCATTTTCGTAGTCCAGAGAGCAGCACAATGAAAGCCTTGCAGGCTGGGAAACACTGGAATGGATCTTCCTTGCACCATGGTAAACATGTAATTTATAGGCCTCCCTGAAGCTTGAGAGGTTCCTGTTCTGTGACCCTCTAGATAACAAGTGGCCAGAGGGGGTAAACTGTGAAAAACACAAAACTGTGGAACATCCTGCTCTTCTAGGATACCTTCAAATGTTAACAAGTCTCTCCTTAACCCCACAATTTGATAACTAATTTTCAAAACTTACTCTGTGTGTTAGTAATTCACAGTCTTGACTATGTCCTAACTATGAATGAAATACAGTCCATCTGTTCGTTTCATCAAGAACAAAAAGCCTTTTTTTGATTTGTGGGTCTTTAACACATTGATGGATTTTAAACAGGGCAACTGATGGCCTCAGTTTTTGTTATTTGTTATTTTTAAATATGTAGCACCTGTATTCTTCACACAAAGTAGACCCAAAGTCATCCCTTTGTCTTATTGTAAACTTTCTATATCTTTACAGCAATGAGTAACTACGGAACTCCCTTCCCAACATAGGCCCATAGGAGGATCTAAAAAAGAACTTTAAAAAGTGGATTTCAAAAGAACGTAGCTAGAAAACCTTCTGCTATTTTTATCATGTGACACTTTTCATCTCATGAGATGATGGGGTTACAGTGCACAGTAAAATAAAACGGTTGTTTAAAATCTATATGCCAAAACAACAACATGCACTTGGATCAAATGGTGAATCACCTCTCAGTCATTCTGAATGCTGTCAGTGTAATAGGTAAGCACAATTTCTTTTCCCTGGATACAGCCCTAATGACATATAGCAAAATAAACTGAGCACTAAAGAAATATTGATTATCTTGGCAGGCATATTAAGTATCAGTTTGTATCAGATTACTATAGGTCCCTTGACAATACCAACTATGACAAGTGATGTAAACAGTGCCTGAAGTAATTATTTTCTCCGGTTTTCTACATATATTTTAAATAACAGGTTATAGCGATAAAGGGATGTGCACTTAGGTGCCAAACTCTGATACAATGTTGTACACTGCTGTAACAACAGTCAAGGCTTGTCTGTGCTTTTCAGTTGGGTTCATCTCTGGAAGCCACCGATCAGAGAAATGCCTGAGTAGTATCGAGCAGTGAAACCTTTATTCCTTATGTCAACACAGCATTGAGCGTATGGGTAACAGATTCATTTAATCAACGTACTGAAACGTCAAACCACACATTGAACTTAACATTTAATATTATTTCTGGCTAGACTGAATAGTTTTAACCTGATATCTCCGTTTATAACAACATAATTTCAAAAAAAATGAAAAAGTGTTTTTGAACAAAATATATACATCATGAATACCTCTAGGTAAAATACAGACATGTATTAACCAATCAATTGGGCAAATAGACATTGGTCTGGTATGAATGGTGATATGCTGAAATCAGAATCAGAATGGATATATTTGGTTTCTAGTATGTTCCCTTTTCCCAAAGCTCATGATGTGTAAAATGTAAGAGTACAGTATTACTTCTAGTTATCACGTGTCTTATAAATTTACACCTTTACTCAGGACTCTTCAGTTTTAAAGCATCCCAAGATCCTTCATACTTGATGAATGTGGGCCTTGTTAGGGATTTGGAAATTTCCCCAACTGTTTTTTGTTTAGCTTGTGGAAATCCCGGCACAGTCAACATCTTTTTGAGGAGTGTCCCCTGATTGTTCAAAAGCGAGGATCAAACATGCAGCTGTTTATATGTACAGTCATCCAGTCGCAGTAATTGGTACGTATGAACCTAGCCAGAGTTTGTCTAACTCCGAATGTCTCCTGCTAATTATCGTTTTCGATAAAACCACTTCAAACGTCCCAGGCCACACAAAATCCTTTTCCATAGCGCACACATTCACAAACACACATACTGCTGTTGGCTCAGGTTATGCCTTTGCCCCATGCTAATGAGACAGTTCCCTCAATGAAATCTCACCAGCTGTCCTCCTGACTTCTCCCATCTTGCAGAAGTCTGTTGTAACCCGCTAGCTGTACATGCAACATTGAAGACTTCACAGATCAACACTTGTTCCTCTTCATCCTGGGCCTCAAAGAATCAAGAAGCAAATGACAGAAAAGGTCCTAATATTTCTAAATGTTTTTCCCTTCTTGTACAGGTAAGGAAAGATGAGACTCACTCTATTTTAGATTTGTGTAAAGCAGGGTGGATATAATACTCATTTGTCCTTGTAGAGAATAGCTTTGTATGCCTTTCCTACATGCAGTTTATTTTCATCCTATGTGGATTGCCTATATTTTTTTCATTCCTTCTGTTGTAGTGTTTTATACTCATTTTCTAAATTGAATGTATCTCTTTATTAATCTTCCCCCTTCTTCAGGTTTATAAATCATTTTAAGTGAACCATTTACAAGAGATTATTCTTGACCAAAACAACAGACTGAACTTCAAAGTGATGAATGTGGACAGAAGTATACACACAACTCAATCAGTGCATCTAATGCAATAATCAGCTGAAGAAAGTCACCTTTGACGTGTGGTCATGATAGAAAGGTTTTAAGGACAAAAGCAGGGTAGGATGACTTTTTAAACCATTAAAAGTCAACATTTAAAGAAAAAACAACTACTGGGTACAAAATATAAATTACTCCCATAATGAAAAAGGATACATCATTCCTTGCAGCACCAAGACTTGCTTAATGGGTAGCCTGCATTACATGTTCATGAAATGTATCATGATCCATCTCCAGTCTTGTAAGTTAATGCTAGATATTAATAATAATAATATGCTGAACTCTTCTGAGGGATTGTTTTACTACTGGAAAAATGACATGCATGCATAACATTAATGACACAGAGGGTGTGTGCATCATGTAAGAAATGTTAGAGGGGAGACAGCTGCACTCTTGTGGGAGGGCACTGTACAAAACTGTTTTATGCATGAAAGCAAAAAAAAAACATCCGACAGCTGTTCTCATGTCAAAGTTCTCAATAATTTATTTACTCATAAGCATTACAAAAACATATGTACAGAGTGTAAAAACAGTCCATTATCACAACTACCACTTGAGCTCTGCAAATTGAGCAGGATTTCATTTCAGACACGTTGTCCACAACTACCAGAACAAAACAATTTTACTGTATTTCAGTGTTGACTGACATGGCCACTCCAGCCTCTATTGAAGAAAGGCTAGCACTGGCAAAACAGCCATCAGTCTTCTCAGAACGCATAGAACTGGCTTTTTTGTGAATGTGCAATTCAGTGTCTAACCGAGCTATGAACCTTAATACGCCCGTCTGGAGAAAAAAAAAATATATGTCATACCGTATCAATGCCTGGGCTACATTCAGGATGCTACAGCCTAGGACAGCAATCTTATTTTCCATGAATACAAAGGACTGCCTTACAGCAATGACTAGCTATGGAAGTTCAATACTGGGTCGCATAAAGGACAATTTTTTAGCTTTTGATTCCCGGGCCATCAAAAAATTGTTCCTTTAATTCGACTGGTGCAAATCCCTTCCATGTAAATGAACCTCAAAGACAGGTTCGCAAAAAGGTCCGTGCTCCCTTACGGATGTGCTTCATCTCCTCTTTTTGCTGTGCCTGAGCATCTTTTTCCTCTTCAGGATCATGTCGTAGAGTCTCTCCAGCCCGGGCTGGAGTCCCTGGCCGTCCAAGGCGCTGCAGCCTTGCACGTGGTGCAGAGTGGAGGCGCTCAGCTCGTGGAGGGCGAGCACCTTCTCCACCTCCGTCACGGACAGAGCCGCGGGCACGTCCTGCTTGTTGGCTAGGATTAACACGGGGACCCCCTGGTTTTCGGAGGTGCGGGTGATTTTGTGCAGTTCCACCTTCGCCTCCTCCATGCGCTCGGCCTCGGTCGAGTCCACCACAAAGACCATCCCGTCCGTCCTGCGGGTGTAGGACTTCCAAAGAGGCCGCAGTTTCTCCTGGCCGCCCACATCCCAAACCTGGAAAGTGATGGACCGCGAGTTGCCCACGGCCACTTTGACTTTTTCCGTGTTAAACCCTTTGGTGGGAATCGTCTCGACAAACTCCCTCAGTTTGAGCCTGTACAGCAGCGACGTTTTGCCTGCGGAGTCGAGTCCGATGACGACCACATGCAACGACTGGAAGTTGGGCAAAAACGGCGTGTTGGGAGCGATTTCCGTGAGCTGGTTCCCCATCGCAGCTTGAACTCAAACGCACGTATTCCCGCTGAAGTGCGTTAGCAATCGGGTGCCAACTTCTTCTGAAAGCGCTGTTTAAAGGTGCATGGCCTTCACACCTCCTTCAAACGACTGGGGGGTTCTGGAAACCAGGCGTCTGGAACCGCTGCAGAGACCCTATCAAAACCAAAACGAAACATCAGGTTAAGAGGATTTATGATCTACAGATATAAAACGAGCGAACCCTTCCGACTAAGGTGGGCGTCAGCCGGCGTAAAGAGAGCAACGCTTTCACAGATGAAGCATGTAATTAAAAGCCCAGATACAAATTAAACAGCGTGTAATTATCAGCACTAGAAGACCGTAATTCAAACACGAAACACTGGTTTGGCGTTACAGTCGCTACTACTACATCACACTGATTTGAGCAAAACCGTCGATGGGGTTTCTTCCATTTTAACTATTGTATTGGTCTTAAGAACACTAAGGGCGTCTATCGAGGCAGAAATTCTGAAATCTTCGTTTGCAAGATTTATCTCCCCTGCACACGAACTCCTGTGTACTGTAAACTGGCGGACAGGCGGCAGTGAGCATTAACTCGTCTGCCTCAGGAAACAGGGTGTTGGGGTTCACAGATCCCCCCCCAGCAAAAATACCTCATTCCCACCTCCCCGCCCCGGGCTTCCAGATCAATAAAAACTTGTTGAGCACCCCCGTCACCCTTTCAGCCTAGTACATAAACACCGTGAATAATTAAAAACGCCTTCAGCGCGATATTTACACACGGGTCTCACAAAACACACATATATGACACGGCACTATAGTCTCAATTGCACGTAGCTTGTAGCAGTTTGCGTTGTGGATAAACTCCACGGAATTCGATCGTCCTATCGACTACCTCAATATCCCGAGGTTATTTATCGAATTGCAGATTAAATTCGTTCAGGTCCCAAATTCTACCACACTTAGTGCGCAGGGAACGAAGATAGAACAGGCACGGGCTACAGTATAATCCACAAAATATAATTTCATGATAGGTGGTATCTTAGGAAAAATACTTTCACCGGGTTATTTATTTATTTTATATATATATATTATATAATATTTTATTTATTTAGTGCCTTTTTCACCACGTAGATGTTAACAGGTATAAATGTATTAATTTCAGAAGACTCGGCCGCCTGACGTTGTAGAGGGATCACCGTTCAGTGTATATACGGGTATACCAATACTGCGGACGGGGTGCCTATCCAAGTTAAATCTATGAAATAGAATGCTTTTAATTCCCTTATGATTAATGCATTCAACATCTCGAACCCGCAATAAAATTGCTGTTATTCACTCTACGGTTTGTACACAGCAAGAACCACACTGTAATTAGCTTTTATTCCGTAGCTAGAGAGCGTAAACAAACAGGAATGAGTTCTTGAGATAATTCAGCACGTATCCTGCACGCTATGTTGTAATATCTCCGAGAACATCTTAGCACAATGTGAACAAGGCACCACATTATGTACCTGTACTCGTTCACGGATATGATTATTTAAACGAAGATGGCTTCATTTTGAAATGATAAGTGTATCTCGCTGAATGTGTTTGAAACACACGGGTAACAATTTAAGAAGATGCTCACTGCGGTGTTGCCCGGTGGACTCATACGTATCGTTATATTTCAGTATTTGTATGAAGGCTGTGGTAAGCTTTTTTCGGACAAAGGAATTAGCTAAGTAATCTTACCTTTTATTTGCTTAGAATCTCCCAGTAAAACATAGCTTCACTACAGCGCCCGTGACAATCCTTAAACACGATGAAGGCTCGCCCAGCAATCCCAGATCCCAAGCAACTCCTCTCACAACAGCGTCTTCTCTCGGCTGTTTCTCCACTGGTGTCGAGTAATACACAGTTGGCGCAAGAGGTGGAACCCGCCCCTGCGTGACGTGACACAAACACGCTACCAAGAATCTCTCCTCTCGCCCCTCATTCCCTGTGGTTTCCTTAAAGGGGAATTGTCACGTTAAACAAACAGGCAGCCCTCGCACCTCCGCGTCTGAAAGTCAGTCGCCACAGGGGGTACGCCTTTGTTTTCTTAACGATTGCTGTAGATGTAGACGTAAGAGCTGTACTTCAGATGTACTTAAGATGCCAGGGCTACCGCTTCTTGAGCACTTTTGTCTGTGGGCACACAAAAGCCTAAATCAATAATATCACACCCCGGGCCACTTCTTACAGTCTGGATCAGCTACCTTGTCGCGCATCGAACCGGCGTTCTCGCACATTCCGTGAATTCTTTAATCGCTATTTTCTAGCGGTTTGAACTATGGCTAGTGGCATCTTCACTCGACTGCACACTTTCACGGAGTTTTCCGTTCCCGATCAATTATTCTTTCAGAACATATTCAGGCGGCGCCCGCATGAAGTCTCTATTTTCAGACCCGAGAGGTGCCCAGTATTATGTCGGTCAGGACTAAAGGCTGAATCAGGAGATTGTTTTGAAGCAGAGGACGACGCTGTGTTATTTGTGCAGTCTTCCCACAGCAGTTGCGAATTATTGCCATTCACCGCCGCAGTGTTGTGCCGTGACACGGACCAAAACACGCAGATCTCGCTGGAATGTAAATCTTAACTGCTGGGAGTGGAGTGTGAGAAATTGTGCTCTGCAGGCTAAAAATTAATAATAATAATAATGGTTTATACTTATATAGTGCTTTTCTGGACACTCCACTCAAAGCGCTTTACAGGTAATGGGGACTCCCCTCCACCACCACCAATGTGCAGCTCCACCTGGATGATATTCAAACCAGGCGGAATTCTTGCACGCAGGCAGGGTTGTGTTTCGCTCTCTCGTCCCGGGAGATGCCATTCCTTTGCGGAAGAAGTGTGCGGATTAAGTTCTGTTGTGAACACATCTGGGGGGGGGGAGTTGGGGTTCGGAGGTGCCAGGACGGTGTGAATTCGACACTACTCCGTGTGAGTCTGGTGTCCTGTCCTTTTCATCTCCGCCGTGTCGGGACAAGAGACAATAGGCTTATTGCAGTACAGGTCGCGTATAACTGCTCTAAACCCACCTTTAATCCTTTCCTCCTTCAAAACTCACAACAGAGTAACTTACAAACTGCCACAGGGGCTTCAGACTTCGTGTTTAAACTATGGCTGGGAAACTGCCGCCCCTGTGTTTTTAGTTCTGAATCCGCGTGTTCTTGTTTGCTGTTAGGTTATCCCATCCCTCACAATGGGAGATTTTTCCACATTCTTACTTAATGCATGCAACAATGTGCGTGTTTTTGGTGCCTTAGGGGTTCTGGTAACGAAATCATATCGAAATAACAGTGGAAAACGCCATGCTCTGACAATAATCCATATGAAACCGGGTTTGCGGTGGGGGGTATTTGATGTACGAGGTATATGAGACAGGTACAGACAAGCATGGCTGAAAAAATGGTTCTTAAATCAGATTAGGAACAGATTTTCATTGGAAAGAGGCAATGTTCCAGTGGAAGACAAACCAAAACACATGGGTACTAGACATAGCTATCCTGGCTGTGGCGCGTCACGCTTTCATCTCATTTCAGTTCAAAACAACAAAGGCAACAAACGTCGACAAACAGCTGAGCAGCAAACCCTACACGACAACTCTACAAAACAACCTCTTTTTATTTTGGAACCTAATTTAGTTAACGAATTTCCAAATGCTTCAAAAGGTGATTTTAAAACGGCGTTATTGCGCCCTCGCGCGTTTCTCTTGAGGTGAATTTGGCACAAGTGAAGGAGCTGCTCTGTGCTTCCAGTAATTAACATTTATCTCGTTTTAAAATCAGCAGACACTAAGTATATTACCTCCTTCTGCTCAGACAGGGTGGGGTATAGAGACACACCCAGAGAAGATGAGGGGGTTTTGAGTGGGGGTGAAAAATCAACCTTTTGATTAATCTTTCTCTTCCTTCTCCTGTCCGAGGAATAATACGGAATTTACATCGAGCTGCTCATTAAACTCGACGCCACTCATTAATATTAATAAACGACAAGAAAGAGAAGTAGACATCGGAAGTATGCTGATTAACGCAGTTAATTCATTCAATAACTAGGTGTTAGCGAAAGGCGTGTAGTATTGCCGGGAGCTTTAATTTTGGTGTAGGCAGGCAAACGCGTTGCCCAGCCATACCACAAAAAATAAAAATCTTAAATAGCAAAAGCAGTAGTAGACATGAAAACAAAAAAAAAACGTAATTTTAAAGTTCTTTAAAGCATTAATATTATGTCGTCCACGTTATTGATGCACTGTACATTAGCAATATCCAGGTTCGCGATCTGAAGACTGGTTACAAAGGGCACGTTGGCGTTTCAAAGACCGACACAGAAATAGTAATACCGCAGTTAAATACCTCCCATTGCTTTTAAGCAGCCAATACTCTGTTGATATACTGTTGGGTCTATTAGCCTAGACTTATCTTAAATTAAAAAAAATAATCGGGCAAGAGGATTAAACCTAAGAACAAGAGGCGCGTCTTTACGCAAGGGGTTGTGGAAGACGCGACCAAGACCCAGCGTGTCTAAGGTGGCTTCCTTCAAAATCTCTTGAGGTGCTTGGATCACTTAGTCATTGGCACGCCGTGGAGATATGTGCTGAATGTCTACCCCTTGTTTGTAAGCTTCCCCGTATTTCTCTGTTATTTAAATCTAAAACAGGAATTGTTTTACAACAAAATACCACCGTCTATCCACCTGTTAACAGAAAGCCGATTGTTTCTGGTAAGGAAAGGAAGCATAGGGCCTAGGGCCGAAGAAACGTAAGAACACAAGAACGGTTAAAATAAGGAGGAAATTCAGCCCAATTAGCCCGTTGGGTAGTTAGCAGCTAATTGATCCGAGGATCAGCCGATTCGCGAGACTGTGGCAAGGGTATCGGATTCGACAACATGGCTGGGGAAAGACGTGCCTCCTGGTTCTTGGTTTTTAATTTACTGGATAACCTTATCAGGACGCCAGTGGGTTTGCAGCACACAGAAAATCGGTAATGATACCCAAAATGTGAGGAAACGCTACCCCAACGCTACTAAAAGCAACAGGATGGAAATGGAAAATACTCTAATATTTATAAAGGCTCTAGCCCATTCTTGCACCATGATGGTTTGTCGTAAATTTCAACAACAACCCTACAATTTCAGTACAAAAACAACTGTATTTATGCTGTTTGCATTTTATATTACATAAGCGGTTCGCTTGGGAAGTTCGCCAGTGTGCGTCGGCTGCAAAGTGGAGAGGAGAGGTTGATTTCCACGCTGAAAAAGTAGAAAGAAGTAACAACGTTTCGGCTCTTCAGCGTGGACGTAACCTGACTTGTTCTGTTCCATAAGAGACCCGTTACGCGGAGATGAGCTTAGTGTCGGCCCTCAGTGACCTCACTTACAGACGGGTTATTGATTTCTTTCAGCCACAATGCGCTTTGCCGAGTCCGGTTTGCGCGTCCAGTTGCTTGGCAACCGCGTAGCCCTGCAAGGGCGCATCTCTGGTTGTGCCGCTGTCCCCCGCAGAGCGCTAGTAATAAGAGCCGGCGCTGGAGGACAGCCTCACTCCCAAACACTAGCTCAACTTTGTGAGTGTCCTCGGCTTTCTCGTATCCAGGCTTGGTAGTAAGTTTTTATTCGTTTGTTAATTTTTTTATAATGACTACAAGCGGTTTTCTGATGCTTTAACAATAGCCAAGTTTAGAAAAAAGTGATAACTTAGAATTCGTGAACATACTGTCGTACACGTATATTTATAGTCCGTGAACAACAATCAGGATGTTTTCAGAAACTTATCCAAAGATGTAGAAATATCGGGGTGTGCTGTACTTATTATTACGTAGTATTAAATACGTCGCCCCCACAATCAAATACAAAATGCTGAATTCTGGTCCAGGGTGTTATTTCTGTTTAGTGATCACTGTCCCGTGCTTCATTTGGACGTGTTGTACTAATAAGGCTTAAGAAAATTAAAATCACATGCAACATTGAGGGCAACATGTTTCGTGAAATTGTTTGAAAGACCTTGAGGGTAAAAACACAGTGGCGGCGTACTTGACATGTATGGCCGTACAGCAGTGGCCAGAGACTGAGTGTGAGGAACTGACAGCAGGTAAAATCGTCTGTCCTCATAACGGAGTCCAGATCTGCGCTGGACTGGCAAATGAGAGCTGCAGTTGAGAAGCCCGACCCTGAGCTGAAACCCCTCCACGCGTCTGGGAAGCAGGAAGGGTTTGCTATTAGGAGCGTATTATATCAAGATAATGAGAATTCCAATACCATGGGCTGCAAAGCTGGCTGGGATCAATTCTGCAGCAGCAACTTCCAGCGCGCCGTGAGCGTTACCTTGATTGCGAGCATAAATCAGTGCTACATAATACCTGCATATGTCCCTCCTAACAAAGGCGCCCTTGTTGCGCCTTCCAGTCATTAATCTGGCGTGGTGGGTAGGTACAGGAGGGCTATCGGGTTCCCCTGCCTGCTGGAGGCTGGTTCCGTGATACGCACACTCCCTTACAGATGGTGGGATAAAATGTCAGCCATGCACTGGGAAGCCCGCCGCCGACAGGCCGTCCTGGATCGGAGGGGGGCCAGGATGAGACAGGTAGGCGAGTGAATTATTCATGACCGCGTAACTCGAGTGTAAAAAGCACTCCGGGGAATCGGCAGTGCCAGTCGCGTTCTCCTGATAACATTCTCAGCTTACAGCACCACCAATGCGCCCCCCACCCCCCCACAGTGCTCAGCTGAGACCTGTTACCATATTGCTGCCATTGAGACAGCTTTGTCTGGATTTGCAGAATTCTGTCTCATTAATACGAACGTCTGCTCGAGCAAACGGCAAGAGGGCTGCTCCAACCTGGTAGAAAAGATGTCGCAATATCATATGTAAAAAAGACCCGATGTCTGCTGATATAGTGGGGTGTCTTATTCGTAGATAAATCACAATATATACACACTTGTCACGCTGTATTGGCCACGTTATACGTACTATCAACTCTGGATCCTTAATTAAACAAGGATT